GAACCATCTCTTAATTATGCTGCTTGATTTTCTGGGACTAATGAAGCTGTTTGGGAATCCATAGTTAACATTGGTCCTGAGCCCACTGTTGGGTTGGTTTAATGCAGTGAAGAAAATGGCAAAAATGTTTGCTTTCAGTGATGACTGGGATTTCATTTTTGTTCCCTTGTGATGTTAGCCATAATGTCAGAATAGTGATAGTTTATGGTAATCTGTTGATTTGTTAATCCAGTTTCTGCCAGCCTTCTGGGTTCGGGTTGCGTTAGCTGCAGATTAAACAAGGTAGGACGTCATTCTCTGTGACAACATTCTTCAGCTCTTCCTTCAGGGGGACCTCAGGGTGTCCTCGGCCAGATCCCTCTAGTGTGTTTTGGGTCCGCCCCACAGGTGTCCTCCAGGTTGGACATACTTGTGCCTCCTTTCTCATTATTTGTCACTACTTAAAGTTCATGACCAACAAGAGGTGAGGGTTGGAATGTAGATTGGCTGTTAAATCGAGAGACTCCCTCCCTCCCTTTTCACCATAGTACTCTGGTAGAGCATTTGCATTGCAGTTAACGCCGGGCTACTGTTGGCTGTGTGTGGTACCCCTGCCCACTGTCACATCAGTCTCACTTCTGAGATCATTAGTAATCAAAGTGGTTGGGGGTTTTCCCCTTCACTGCAGCTAGTTATTGAAACTGTGTTCCTGCTCCTATTTCTTCTGACCGTAGCACTTCACTGCTTCAGTCTTCCTGCAGAAATGTTAGTGGAAAAGTAATACAAGTATCAAGTATGTTGTTTTTTTGTTTTTTTTTTACCTAAGCTCATCACCTCCTGGGCTCCAGCTCTGTAATTAACACAATTATGAGAGTAATATTGACCTTCTTGTCCCAATTCCTAAAATGTTAAACTCTGCTATGCTGTTCTTTTTTGCTGTGCTAGATACAGAAGGCAGTGGCCAGATGTGGCTCTTTGCTCCTCTCCAGTGGCTCCCTGTGGCCTTGACAAAAAAAGATGAAGAAATGAATAACTTTTATTTTTAACATTTTCATTTATCATTGTTGTCGGCCTGAAGTGATTCTTAATATTCTTAACAACTTAACAATTGTAGAAATGGGTTGCCATTACACACCATGTTTAAACATTTCATCAACTAAAATGTGCATTCTGACCTGGCGCCTTTTCCTAGTTTAGCTTTGGATTCCAAATCCAAAATCAGAAAAGTCTTAGAAAATAGATTTAACAGCGCATGGACAGATTTGTTTGCTTTCGCAACCAACGCTGCTGGCTTTACCATTATGCTTGATCAGTGAGAAATTAGCATTATACAGGCTAAAACAAAATAAAAACAGCCAACCCTAATGTTTTCTTTACCCCACATGACTTCATCTAATCGGAAGGTTGGCTCCTGTCCTTGGGCAAGACACTGATCCCCAAATTGATCCCGATGCTGTGCTGAGTGTGTATGAATGATTAGTTTCCATTCTGGTGAGCAGTTGGCACCTTG